TTTAAAACTTTAGTATAACATAGACGTGAACAAATCTGACTTCCTGCAGAGCTTTCTTTTAGCTTTGATCATCTGCGTAATTTTATTTTTAGGCGGCAAATTTTCTTTTAAGAAACAACAACAAAAGGGAGAGAAATCAATCAGTAACTGGTTGTGAACGTATTGTTTCACATATTTAACTCATTCCATATTTTAACACCCATGTTAAAATATCAATTGTGCCAAACTTTTAGAACATTCTGATAAATCAAGTCAGAATCGATAACATATCTTGTTAAATGTTATAAAGAAAATCATTTTGTTAAGTCGAACTAATGGATGTGGTAGGCTCCACCTCAGAATAGGGTGCAGAGGGAGCAAGAAGAAGAGCAATAGCACCACCTAGTGGCAGAAGTTAAAATACGAAACTTTCTTTTTTTGTCATGTTCTTCTTTTTATTTTTATCTGAAATAGATAATAACAAACAAAATAATGTCATAGTAGCTCAATGTGTATCTTTTGTTTTTGAAAAGAATAACAACACAGACTAAAGCGATAAAAGATGATGATGATCTGGTATGTGTAACTTTCCTGTTGTACTATTAACGTAATTTTGTTTTTGGTTATAATTGTGTTTGCTTTTGCAACATAGTTCTAGAGATATATGTGATTTTCTGTCATTGCTGACTGCTTGACTAAGCGGTGGTTTCTGGGACTTTCCGTGGGGATTAGACAAAGCGCAACAGAAACAAACAGGAAACCCCGCCCCGTCGTGTTGCAAGCGCGCCTCTACACATTTCAGGCTCTGGACTCACTGCGCGATGGCGACGACGTTTTCACTGTGGTTTAGTTCCTGTGTTTGGCTCGCTGTGTCACTGTAAGTAATCAGATGTAGACTAGACAGTCCTCTATTATCTGTCTCTACTAGCTTTACTAACTGCTCGGCTCGGTGTGAGGTGGTAACCACAGGGGCGGTTGGGTTGGGAACGAAGGGTGATACAACTTACCGTAACACCTGAGTTCAGAAGTGTGCGGTAAATGTAATCTTTAATAAAGCAATGAATTCGTCTGTTTGGCGTCTTAACACCACCTATAAACTGCTATTTAACCTAAACGAACTTATTATTCTAAAAGGAAACCAAGCTGCACTTTCACTTTCGTTTTGAGCTTCTGGGTTTTTGTTTTTTTATACAGATGCGTTTGCTTTGCCTCGTCCCAGCGCCACAGGTCAGTTAATGGGGCATCCCGCATCAGAAGAGAGCCGGAATGTTTGGATGGCACCTACAACTTTAGAAACTGGACCTGTTGTAACTGCCCTGTTGGTAAGTGTCAGTGGTTATGTGAACTTAAAGAACTCAAGCAATGTAGTTTGTAATTTGTAGTCTTTGTAATCTGTAGGGTTTTTGTTCTCCATTTAATCAAAACCCGGGATGTCCAAACTTTTTTCGAGAGTGTCATAAATTAACAATCACCCAGGGGCCAACAATTCTTCTTGCCTTTTTGTGAAGCATAAAAAATATTATTTAAAAAAAACAACTCTGCAAGTCGTATGCTTTACGAGGGCTTTCCAGATTATGTTTGCTAGAAAATTTCCGTTCATATTTCCAGTTATTCTGACACCTATGAGTCATCAATCTTATGACTGAACTTCTCCCAGAATTTCTGTAACAGAGTGAGATAGCACAACCTGTTGAGCCAGAACAGCCAAATAACTGGGAAAATAAGCCTTAATTAAAGATTAAAATAAAAATAACAACAGCAAAACATCACTAACCTGTCTTCTTTTTTTTTCTCCCATTAACTTATGACCCCCTTGCTTATCTCTGGTGGTGCTGTGGAGCAGTCAACTCTTAGGATAGGACCCAATAGAAAGGTCTATGAAGCTTTAAAGGGGGGAAAAAGTTAAAACTTCACTTTTTAATTGTTGCTGTATCTATAGTACCAATTAATTATGTAACTGGTACTATAGATACTCTCGCGATATAACAGAAAACAACAAGTTAACACAGATAAGAAGTTGCAACGAATGCACACCTGCGGACCACTTAATTGCACCCCTGGTTATTCTATTCTATTCATGTAAACAGTGTAATACCATTAACAGACTTTCTTCTGCATCATCTCTCTCCACTCTGTAGGACAGCGAGTAATACGGCATTGCACTAATGGCAATAGAAGGGATGGAAAATGTGAAATCTGCGAGAAGGACACATACAACAGTGAGCCTAGTGACCGGGAGACCTGTCACCGCTGCACCTCCTGCGCACAGGCAAATGGTACAATTATGATAGGACATGGCTGTTCCTTTTATTCACAGTTAAACTAAAGACAAAATATTAGAGAAAAGTTCACCTTTTGCTGCAGAATGTTTGACTGGTCACAGCTCTAACGATGCTTAAGTCCAGTATGAGGACCCTGAAATCAAATCAGCTATCATTAACCATTATCTACTGGATTATACATGTGCTATATTGATTAGCAGTTTCTTAGATGTCATATTTTAATATTTTATTTTTAAATATATAAGGTTAGCAGATAATTAAAATGCAGTACCAGAATTATCCAAGCATTATTTCAATTTATATATGAAAGTTCACATCCCATCTTTTTATACGAAAAAGTAAAGGAAAACCATCCTTGGTCTATTTCACAACTAAAACAATGCAAGTTTCTTTTTTTTTTTAAAGACTTTATAGCCTCAATAATAACTTGTGTGACTTTTCTCAACTTTTCAGCTAATTTAGAAGTAGAAGAAGAGTGCACTGTTGGTAGGGACACCAAGTGTCGATGCAAGGAAGATCACTTCTGCAGCAGTGAAAGTTGCACAATCTGCCATCCATGTAAAAAGTAAGTTTGATTTGACTTTGAAATCACATTCAGCATGTAAATCTGTGCATATTCCCTAGCGCTAATGTACTAGACCTGAGTACAGTGTTCATATTAATACATTGTACAAAATAATAGGAACACCTATTAATGTAATGTAGCTCAATACACCGCCATCTTAGTAATACACTTAAATAATTGGAACATTTCCAGCATGGTTTGCTGAAACTCATTCATTTTGTAAAAGCAGAAGTGATGGCAGAGCTATTGTAATGGTTTTCATTAGATTGCAAACATGTTTCTAATAAAAAGTTTGTGACGTGTGTGTGTGTAGCTCCTTTAAAGAATCTGTTGTCTATTGACTTGTCCTTTAAGGCTGTCCGCTCCCTTTGTAGTTATTTTTGATTCATTCGTGGTTGTTTGTTGTTTTGGTTCAAGATGTGGAATTGGTGGTGTTAAAGAAGCCTGTACAGACAACAGTGATGCAGTCTGCAATGGAGATGGTGGAGGTAAGGTGTTCTTAAGTATTATTGGATTTTAATAAATCATATTGGACACATTTTGCATTGCAAAATATTAATGGTCATATCTTCTCATTTCAGCTATTGCTGGAATTATTATTCTAGTACTTGTTATTGCTGGAGCCGTTGTAGGAATAATCTGGATAGCGAGTGAGTATTTCTGCTAATATATGAGTAAAGCACCATCAGACGACATTGTGTGTTTCCTTGCTCAGCACTGAAGGCTTTATTTATATTCAGTTCAATATTTAGTCGTATCTTGATTAATTTTTCTGTGTAATTTCTATTCGTGTTTCATTAGAGAGAAAACAAAAGAAAGAGGATGAAAAAAGCAAAGAGGTAAGTTATTTTCTTTGGACACCTGTGACGTGATATTTACTCTTTGATCTCTGGTTCATCCAATTGCCTTTCTGCACACATTCACACACACAGACACACACACACACACACACACACACACACACACACACACACACACACACA